TTTCTTCATGTGTTTGTTGGCCATCTGAATGTCTTCCTTGGTGAAGTGTCTGTTCATATCCTGTGCTCATTTTTCAATTGGATTATTCTCCTTTATCTTGTTGTGGTTCTGCAGACCCTTATATCCTCCTCAAAGGCTGACACTGTTTGTCCCCTTGCTAATGACCTAAGATGGGAAAAAGGCTCTCCATGTCCAAAATCCGCCACTTTCCCTGTGCTGCCCAGCAGGGCTGTGTCCTCAGTCTTCTTAGTCCTCCTGCGCACCATTGATAGGCATGCATCTCTTCCTCCCGCAGACCCCGTCTGCCGCACATAACCCCTGGTGATTTATTCCTTGCCAGCTAGGAGCCTCATCCTATAGCTCACATGCATGCCTAAGCTGTTTCCAGCAGGAAGTGTGGTTTGCCTGTGACGCAGATGTTGTTGGGTCATCTCAGACGAGATGAAATCAGGATGAGCCCTGCTTGAAGCAGCCATTACCGTCTTAGCGTTCCAGATCCTTCTCTCAAGGTTCTTGGTCTGGGCCCTGGTGTCCCTTGCAAGGGAGGGCTCTCTGGAAGCAGGCTGTGCACCATGTTGATGACCCGTGGGTTGTCTGCTAGGTCAGGACTGAGATGTTTGCTTTCATTTATTGCCTTCATTCTCAGCCTCTGGCAGATTTGCTTGATTTGACTGTGTGTGAACATCGTCTGGTTTGTTCATCATTGGGGCAGTGTCACATGCCGTAGCTTTGCAGTCAGACTTCATTGACATTGAGTCATGTGTTTTTGTCAGGGGCTGGTTCTGGAAATGACTGACTCTTAGCAGTAAAGGAAGAAAGAAGCCACCTTATTGTTTTGAATCAAAGGTTCAATGATTGAGTCTGTGAAGTTTGGATCATATATATGTATATACATTGATATTTAACTGCACTGTTTTTTCTTGGGATTATGTGGATTTCCCACAGCTTGGATGTCCACAACTACTCCTGTCCAGTCAAACACTGATTAATTTGTTGTTGTTGTTGTTATTGTTGTTGGTTTTTTCTTTTTTTAAAAAAAATTTATTATTAATTTCAATGAAAATTTACAGAGACTTTGGATTTCCATTCATTCATTCATTGTTGCACTTTTCTCCCTGCCCACCCCTCCCCCGCCAGTACACTCTTCTCTTTGAAAAGTCAAAGAAAAATTCTTTCATTGTTATGAAACAATGACAAGGATGGGCAGTCTCCTCCCAGGAGATTAACTGCCTCTAAAAATCCGCTGGAGGGTCAGCCATGGGTGGGTCCAGCCTCAATGGAACACAGTAACAACATCCAGAACATCCAGATCTGTCCTGATAGAGATACAGTCAGGGCGTTTCTGCAAGCAGTGTGAGACTGGGTATTCCCAGGAGGGGCTGGTCCCTGGAGAAGTGGTTGGCAGAGTGGAGATTCAGAGCAGAAGAGGAAGACCCTCAGTAAGAAGAGTTGACAAAGTGGGTGCAACAATAAACAAATATAGTAACACTTGTGAGGATGGTGCCGTCTCGGGCAGTGCTTCAATCTTGGATCCACAGGAACCCTCTGAGTTAAAACCAGCTCAACAGCGCCTGACAACAGCAACAGGCTTGCAGCTTGCACGGAGTTCTGTATATAAAGTAGCAAGAAGCCCAACAATAGATACATGTCTTTACAGCACAAATGAAGCATCTAGTGGAAATTAATGGAGATGAAGCAGCTAATGAAACTCCCACCCCTTCATATGTCTTGCTTCCTCTGAAGTAAGCACTGGCTCAGTGCTTAAAATGTTAGGCTGCTAACCAGTAGGTCAGTGGTTCAAACCTTTTAGCTGCTCCATGGGAGAAAAATGTGACCATCTGCTTCCATGAAGGTTTGCAGCCTTGGAAACTCTATGGGACATTTCTCCTTTGTCCTGGATGCTCACTGTGTCAGAATTAATTTGACAGCAGTGGGTTTAGTCTTTGAATTTTAGCCTCCAGTGGGACTAGTGGAGAGCACTGGTGGCTTAGTGGTAAGGAGTTACATCCTCAAGGCATGCAGTTTGAATCCATCTCCTGCTCCACAGGAGAAAAATGAGTAATCAGTTCCCTTCTGTGTGATTTACTGTCTCAGAAAACCCTCTGGAGGGTCAACTATGAGTCGATGCTGACTCGATGGTACTTATCAACAACACCAACCACAACTGGGGCTGGTAAGTAGATGCCATTCGCTGCCAGTGACAAAGCCATACGGAGATGCTGTTGCCAACTTTCACCATATGCTCACCGATTAAAATGCCTGCCACATGCTAGGCTGTTGGAAACACATTTCCGTTTTGATGTGGCTGGTCTGAAGTAAATGTGTACAGAAACATATGCTTTCTGTCAGCCAAGTGGATGACACTGGCGCTGCTAAGCCCTTATTTTACCGTACTTGTAGAACTAGGAGAGTTTTGTATCTCTCTGCTAAGTATCTATTATCAGATGAACAAGAATTACCATAAAAATGCCTTCAGTGCTGAAGGGAGTTCTTCGGAAAGGCATGTTTCCCCTTAGCTGCGCACAGCCCAGTTTTTGCTTTTAAGGAAAAGTGTGTGACATGCCATTCTTGGGCATGTGGGCTCATTGCTAATGTGATCATTGGCATTCTCCAGGGACCGCTAGTGCTGACATTTTGCCCTTGTAACCACCAGTTCCTGAATCATTCCTCTTGGGGAAACAGTGGGGACAGCCACTGGACAACAGAGGGCTTGGGCTGCTTTCCCTCTGTCTTTTCAAGCCAAGAGCCCAGCAGAAGACAAACAGCATGTAAAGAAGCTGTGACTTTAGGGATAAAGGGAGAAGCTTTCACTCCAGACCCCTATCCTTAAGTGGCAGATGCTTGGGATGATGCCCTTGGGGGGATATTTCATCTTTGTCACATCTGAAAGTGACCCAAGAGGATAAGAAAAAAAACACACTACCCCACCACTGCTTACCCCACCTACTTACCCAACTCCCTGACTCATTCTCAGACGGAGACAGCCTTCGGGCAGACATTAAGTGGAGGGTGGCTGAGTGGGACCGCACAGGTCCTGAAGGAACCACTTCATGCTAAAGAGAGATGGGCCCCTGCCCATAGCAATGCCCATGCCTGGTGTGATGGAACCTTACCTAGCACCTCTCATCTGAGCTGCCTGTTCTCACAGCACCTATGTACTCAGCTTACAGGTCAGCCCAATGCAAATCCTGCATTAATTTCTTAATTGCTTCTTACGGCTTAAGCCTAGGACTCGGGCACAATGCTTAGTGCCACTGTCAGGGTGCCACACAGTCTTACATCTTCCCAGCTCTACACCCTGTCAGAGGGAATTAGAGTGGCATAGTCTGTAGGAAGGTATACTGCTAACCCAGTGCTCCTTGAAATAAAGATGAGCAATCTCCTCCCATGTGAATTACAGTCTCAGAAAGCCCACTCGGGGGTCAGCCATGAGTGAGCCCTGACTTGAAGCAGTGAGTGACTTAGTGAGTGAGTGACACCTTTTCAGAAGAATCACCATCCGCCTCTGACTGTCCCATATGGCAGTTGCCTCGAAGTGCTTTGCACCCTTTCTTCTCTTTTGACCATCTTGTTATCTGACAATTTGTATTTACCACAATGGTAAGAAGTTTACTCTCCTGCTATTTGTTAGCATTAGCCATGTGTCTGACAGTGATGTATGCTAAGGTGTGAGGCCAGAGTAAGGCTGGCTGTGATGGTTAAGATTATGTATCAGCTCGACTAGATAATGATGTAATGTACCAGTTATGTAATGATGTAATGTACCAGTTATGTAATGATGTAATTTGACAGTTACGTAATGATGTAGTCATCCTCCATTGTGTAATCTGTTGTGGTCATCATCATCCATTTTCACAAAATGCTGACATTCACATAATGACTTGGTCTTTGAAACCTTGCCATTTTGATCAATGAGGAGCTTTCTCAGTACTTTTGCTGCTCATCAAATGATGTAATAGCTATAGCTAAGTATTTGCTCAATAGAAACATGTATAAACCAGACTCTGCTGTTGTCTTGTTCTCTAGATGGTCTCACTGGCATTTTACAGGCATCAACTCTCCAACACAGAGAGCTCTATGAGCTTGAAGAATTTTGCTAAATAGCTTTCTACATTATGGGTCAAGGTCATATTATAAACAAACATAATCCAAGCATTGGGTGATGGCCTCACTGGCTTAGACACTGGTTTCAGACAAGATGAGGCTGCTACATTTTTGCCAATTTGTGTTGATATTTTTTTTTTTCATTTCTCCAAGGAGTCATAAAAGAATTATTAGTTTTTTATTGCTATATGACAAATTTACCAACTCAAAGTAGCATTCACTTATTAACTTGGTTTCCATTCATTACAAGCTTGACTGCATTCACTGCTTAGGGTCAATCAAGGTTGACATAATTTTCCTATTGGGAGACTCTGAGAAGAACTCCCTTCCAGGCTTACTCAGATTGTTAACAGATCTCCGTTTCTCACACTTGGTGAACTGAAGTCCTTGTTTTCACCTGAGGGTCATTCTGTGCTTCTTGAGGCCATCTGCATTCTTTATCATATGACCCCTTCCATCTCCCAGGGCAGAATTCTTATCCTTCTCATGTTTCTAGTCTCCTTGACTTCTGGTCTACTTTGAAAACACTCATCTGATAGGCTCAGGCCCACCTGGATAATCTCTATATTGTAAAGTCTGACTTAGGACTCCTATTTTATCTGCAAAAGCCCATTATAGGAGTATGTCACCTAGTGTTGGAATAACCAGGGTTTAGGAATACTGAGAGGAATATGTTTAGAAATCATAGGTCAGCCTGATATCCTCATATCCATTTCCACATCCCATTTTATATTTTGAGGAAATTAGTGTTGTAAATATTATCCCCATTGTTGTCTCCACTAGCAAGTGCTGGGGATCCTGAGCCCGAAACAGAGGCAGAACGGGAGACCGAAGTGGGGCAGGTTGCTGATGAGACGAGCCAGAAAATAACCCCCGTAGAAGCAGAGAGCGAAGCAGAGCAAGTGCTTGAGCAAGAGCCAGAAGAGCGAGCCTCCCTCAGTGAAAAAGAGCGGCAGAACGAGGAGGTGAACGAGAGGGACAACTGCTCCAGCATCTCGTCCTCCAGCAGCACGTTGGAAAGGGAGGAGAAGGAGGACAAGGTCTCCAGGGACCGAGGAACTGGTAAACGAGGCTCCTCTTCTGAATACACACTTTCTAAAGAAACCTCGGGCGAGGGGAGGCAAGGGGAGTTGGTTTGTCAAGGTCCCTATTGGGTCAGCTCTCTACCTGGGCTGTGTCACCCAGTCTCTGGAGGTGAGGAATGTGGCCATGTGATTAAATCAGCAGAGGCTTCCTATTCTATACGCAGAGGACAAACCCTCTTCTATATGTTTAACAATCAACAGTTCAGAACTTCCTTCCAGGCAATGATGAGCAGGCCTGCCTTCTGCCCTTGAGTTTAAAGTCCTGCTGCCATTGGCCACCCACCCACTAACCCAAGCCCATCCAGGTCTGACTACCTCCACACAGGAGAGGGCAATGAGGAAGCATAAGGGGATGCTGGTCAATTAATTTGAGGGCCCCACTGGCCCCAGGCCTTCAGGTAGCCAGTCTCAGGGCTTGTTCTGAACATGACCTTTGCAGCTAGGGCCAATCTCTGGGGTCCTGCTTCCACCTTAGCCTTGAAAGTGACCTCTCAGTAAGATGCCAGTAGTCACAGCCACAGCCCTCAGGCTCTTGTGGGCACCTGGGACCTTCTGGGCAGAATACCAGACCTGCTAATTATACTCCAGCCCCACCTCTGCTCTGCCTGGCACCCCCCACCCCCAGGTGCTGAAATGCTATGCAATAGAAGCTTCCTTTCCATATGCATATAAGGTCTGATGGTCAGGGACCCCATCAGCATTCATTCCTGCCAGACGGGTGAGGTGGTTAATAAGTGAGGAGTAGGCATATGAGACTAGTCAGTTTGTCTTTAAAATCAGGCTTCATTTATTATGAATAGCTTTATTCATAATAACTGGGTTTAGCTATCCTAAAATATATCAACAAATTGGATTAGTAAAAACAAGCCAGGGACCTGAACTTTCTTGGGTCAGATTGTCTAGTATTCTTCCAAATAAGGACAACTTTCCAAAAATGGAGACTCTGTTTCCACTCAAGGAACTATTGACTTTCTACCAATAGTAGGTTTGTCCAAGTGTGTGCAGACTCGAGAATGAGGGCTTTGCAGTTATTTTCTGCTTTACTCTGGTGTGGTTGAAAGGTTTGGTCATGTTCCTTTGTAGTAGTATATTGGTTCTTAAAAAGTCCTACAACTCACAGGGACTTTGGCAGCTGTGGACTCAGGGTAAGTCTATTATACTAGTTCTCGCATTCCAAAATGTTGTCAAATCACAAAGGAGACCTAGAGGCAATTAAATTTATTCCAGTTTTATATTTAACAGTTGTTTCTTTTACTCAGTGATATGTGAGAGAGATTCAGCTTACTCTGTGTGGCTGTATTTATTGGTTAATTGATTGGTGATTATTCCTCTCTATCTCCATCTTTGTTGTAGATTCATCACCCTTTGTTGTAATTACTTACATTTTACCTTCTCTCACACACAAGCTTTGTGAGGACAGGGATATCTTTGTTCATTGTGCACCCCTGATTCATGTCTGGGGACCCAGAATGTAGTACAAGCTCAGGAAATCAATGGTGAATAAATGCAGGGAGAGACATTTGGCTAAGAAAAATGAGCCCCATTTCTCCAAGGGGATATCTCTTAAAATTAAACTTCCCAGGATATAGTTAAACAAAGAGTCATAGGAAGACTCTGAAAGGTGTAAGGAAGAAGGCAGACATCCTGGAGACCTTGGAGCATGAGGCAGTACACCACAGTGAGCACCTTGGCTTCCATGTTGCTTCTCATATCGCCCAAAGGGTACTTCACAGGTTTCCAGGGCCAGAAAGTTCCTGGGAAAGCCCTTAGCCCTAACCTAAAGACTAGAAAGAGAATAATCTAACAAAGGAATAGCTTTTTGTTGATTAACATTTATCCTGCTCTAGCTAAATATCAGTGGCAAAACTATTCCTCAAGCCACCATTTCAACAGGGCCAACTGGAACATCCGGTTTCCACAAGAGCTCCCCATGAGAACAAAAGTGGAGCCTCCTGCCTGCTGGTGCCACCCAGGTCAGCAGAAAATGAATATTCCACTCCCTGCTGGGCAAAAGCAAGGAATATTCTGACTTCCCAATCAAGATCATATTAGTGAGATTCCCATCCTCAGCAGCACAAGTGAGACTTAACAAGGCAGTGGGCAAGAGCTAGTCAGAAATTCTGCCACAACCCTTGAAGCCAATAGTAGGCAACAAGGAGTTAAGCCTCCGTACCTCTTCAGCACCCACAAGACTGAATAAAGCATTGGGCAGAAGGGCTAGGCAGCACTTCTCTCCCACAAGCCAGAGTCAGGGCAGTCAGGCGGGAAGCTGGACCTCTACCTCCACTCGGAGGCAGTGCAGAATTGTGAGTCAGTGCTGTACTTACCAGAAAGATGGCACGGAGGGAGCGGATTTCCAGTTTTTCTATCTGCAGTGAGGGTAGTGTGAATCAGCACCCTTGCTGACATGACAACAGCAGAACCTAGCAGGAACTGGACGTTGACCTCCACCCAGTCCTAAACCTTATACCTTAGAGAGGTAACCTGCGAAGAGAACAGATTAAATATGGTCAAGCGTCTCACAGCATCATACCCCAAATGCCCAGGATACAATTAAAAAAAATCAGTCCACATACCAAGAACTAGGCCAATCACAGCTTGAATGAGAAGAGTCGATCAATAGATGCAAAAAGATGAGTCATTTGTTGGAATTATCAAGCAGCAATCATCAAAATGCTTCTATAGGCAGTTGTGAATACTCAGGAAAGACATGAAAAAAAAAATCTAAATATTAGCCAAGAGATAGAAGATACAAAAAAGAACCAAGGGAGGAAATTATGGACCTGAAAATGACAATAAACAAAATAAGACACTTACTAATGGGTGTAAAAGGAGATTGGAGATCATTGAACTAGAAAACAGATCAGTAGAAATTAGGGAATCTGAATAAAAAGAAAGAAAATAGACTGTGAAAGTGAATAGAACCCACAAAAGATTAGACGGTATAAAATGTTGTCTTGAAAAAGAAAGCAGACAAGGATGATAGCTGATGCTGGGAAATGATTGCACACTTTTAACTAACACTTCAGTTTAGTTAGACCTCACAGAGATGGCCCTATCTGAGCAAAGACCTAAGGAAGATAGAGAAGACAACAGGTGATTGGTTCACTGGAAACCGTGTGCCTCGGGAAAGACAAAGGCCCCGAGGACAGGCCATGCTTGGTGAATTCCAGGAAGGGCAAGGATCACTGTGGTTGAAGCAGCTTCAGTGTGAAAGAAGGTGGGAATCATATAAGACCCCGAGAACACTGTAAGGTCACTGGCTATTTCTCTGAGTGGAACTTGGAGCAATTAGAGGAGTTTGAGCAGAAAAAGATGTTGTTGTTGTTGTTGTTATGTGCCGTCGAGTCGTTTCCGACTCATAGCGACCCTATGCACAACAGCCCTAAACTCTGCTCTATTCTGCGCCAACCGCACCGCCTCTGACATACCCATCCCGATTACCCCAGTCACCAAATCAATCCATCTCATAGAGGGTCTTCCCCTCCTGCGTTGCCCCTCAACCCTCCCAAGCATGATGTCCCTCTCCAAGGACCCGTCCCTCCTGGCAACATGTCCAAAGTATGTCAGACGAAGCCCCAGAATCCTTGCCTCCA